CTGCCTAATACCTCAGTTAACGCAGACAGTAAAATGTCTCCACCGTAATTAAATACCTCTGGAGTCATTCCATCAGGTCCTGCTGCTTTAGTAACCTCAGTTAGGGACGGAGGACCTGTGTCTATATCCCATTCAGGGAGGTGTCGGATGTTCGGTAACTTGAGTGTGGCTGAAGGGAAATTTAACTGCTTCTCAAAGTGTTCTTTCCAGCGTTCCAGTCGTCTATCCTGGGAGCTAATTATGGTGCCATTTTCCTCAGAGATTGTTTCACTTATCATTTGCCTTGTGCCACATGTTTCCCTGATAAATCTAAATAGTTGTCTGGTGTTACCAATCGCCGCTGCCTTCTCCATCTCTTTCGCTCTTGTTGCCCACCACTATTCACACTCGTTGCGAAGACTTCTTGTTAGTTTTCGTTTGAGTAGCTTTCGCTCCTCATCATAATCCGAGCTCGCCGGAATCAGTCTTCTTGCGTCAATCAGTTCGGATGAGGTGATAGAAATCCATTGGCTCTTACTAATTTCTGGTTTTAGCTTATTAACAGCTTTTACAGCTGTGTCTACAGCAAACTGTATGTTGTGCCAGGCTACCTCGGGGGAAGTCCTGCTGTCGATCTCAGACACTCGTTTCGCTATTTGTTCCTTAAATAGGAACTCAGTGTTTCGATCTAGTTGGGGACGTAACTGTTTCGCTGCCATCAATTTCTTATGTCCATTTAGTCGTAAGCATAAACGTGCACGAACCAGAGCGTGATCAGAGTCTACGCACGTGTTCCAGAAGGAGTGGCAGTCTTCTACTAACCCTCGCCAACGATACCCTATCGCTATGTGGTCTATCTGAGTCCAGCGTTGATTTGGTGATGGAGGTCGCCAGGTTACACAATGTCTCTCTTAATGCCTAAAGTTAGTGCTGACTAGGAACAGATGATTATCTGAGCAAAACTGTAGAAGACGATCACCGTTGTCGGTTCGTCGGCAGGGAACTCCATACGTACAACCCACATACTTCTTAGTCTGGCACAACTTCCCTACTTGGGCATTGAAGTCGCCTGCTAAAACAACTATATCTGAACGTTTTGATTTCTGCAGCAAATTAGACAGTTTCAGGTAGAAATCATCCTTTAGTTCATCTGAACTGTAGTCTGTTGGAGACTACGAAAAGACAACGACGGGTAGCGCCGTCTTTCTCTCTTTTAACGGACCCATTCAGACGGACCGCACATATACAACTATCTACCGGGATCCAGTCAAGAAGTAATTTTTCTGCCCTAACACTCAGTGCTATCCCTACACCTGCGAGTCCTTGCGAGCTGGCTGAGGGGTCTCCTGACACCCTTAAAGTGAATTTTGCAGATTCATCTTGTTGATCGGGTGAGGGTGAATGAATAACCACACTCGGGTCTTGTATGCGTGTCTCCAGAACACAACATACATGCATGGCTTGAGATGCCAGAGTTCTTGCTAGTGATGCCTGTTGTCCGGTTTGGCAGAGGGTCCTGACGTTGCATGCTTGTATATTAAGTTGGTGACGTAGCTTTAAAGGCTATCTGGGGTGTTTCCATGGCTCTCATCGTTATGTGTGGTCACAGAGTGAAGTGAAGGTGCCTCACTAACCCGAAGAATAGTACTAACTGTAGTAGGGGAAAAAGATATTGAAGGTGATGTGGGTAGAGGGGAATGATGCTCACGAAGGGATTATCGGAAATCCAAATATCTATTTGAATGTGTGGGTTTCCAGCAAACACTAGTGTTTAACTTCCTATCTTCTTTCCTTTTTACCCTACAATCTAACATTAGAAGTTCCCCTTCCTGACTTTCCAATTCAAAAGTGAATTGAATTGCCTCCACCTTTGAGTTAATGCATTCGGAAAATCTATCTATATCCTGTGTTCTAAGTACAGTGAATGTGTCGTCTACATACCTCCTCCATACTTTTGAGGTGGGTGTGAAGGTTTCAATAGCTAAGTTTTCCAACCTATCCATGAATAGGTCTACCGCAACCGGGGATATTGGTAACCCCATGGCAACTCCTTCAGTTTGTTTGTATATTTTCCCCTAGAATTTAAATACTGTGGAAGTCAAACATAGTTGCACTCCCACCAGCATTATGTCCTCAATTGGCACTTTCGTTCTAAGTTCAAGTTCTTGGTCAGAAATGAGTTCGTTTCTGACTGCCTCAATGGCCGTATTTATTGGTATACGTGTATATAAACGGACAATGTCAAAACTAACCATTTTTTCTTCATTATCTAATTTAAATGATCTAATCTATGTTTTAGTTCATGAAAATTATTTAGTCTACATTTTGAATGGCTTTTAAGGGTATTTAATACCATGGCTAAACATTCAGACAATTCTGTCTCTGTCTGTCTGCCTGTCTGGATTCAACGTAGAACTTGGCACCGAAGTGCAGCAGTTCGAGTTGCCACGTTCCAAATAGCACACAAAGGTAGACAAGAAGATGAGTGAAGAGAATCAATAGAGTTTTGACAGGTATAAGAGTGAAACAGAATGAGTAATGGTAGAAAGGAATATGAAAGATTACAGAGACTGAATACATCTGAGCCATTGACAACAATTTTGAGCCATGTCACCTATTGTCTCCAGCCATTGATTCTCAGAGTCCCGAGGGCGGGCCCCAACCCGGAAGTCTGCATCTCCCTACCTGACTCAGTTTAACTGTCAAGGATTTCATGGATTTATGCCATGTTTTTGTTTGGCCACCACTTACTCTTTTCCAACCTGCACATATATGAGCTAGTAATGCCCGTTGGGGGAGACGATGGTTAGGCATGCGCAGCACGTGGCCTAACCATCTCAATCTATGTAACTTTATAGCCTCTTCGAGTGATTTTCCCTCTTTGCCCAACACTCTACGCCTAACGTCAACATTACTTACCCTATTATACCACCTAACGTGAGAAAGAGATCGTAAACATCTGTGGTCAAAAACAGACAATCTCTTCATGTCTTCCGCTCTCAATGGCCACGTCTCACCGCCATAGAGAAGGACGGAGCGAACTGCTGAGCAGTATACACGTCCCTTGGTTCACAGTCGGATGTCACGCCTACGCCAGAGACGGTGTAAGTTAGCGAGAGCAGCCCTAGCTTTCTGGATCCGTGCTGTGATTTCGTCACCAATCAATCCGTTGGTGCTGATACAACTTCTTAAATAGGTGAAGTGGTCAACATGTTCTATCACTTCACTCCCTATCACTAAGCTTGGAGTTGACGTAGTTCAGTCCTGTAGCAGCATCTTACATTTCACAGGGGCGAATCTCATGCCAAACATACGAAAATTGCTGCTCAAGGTGTTCAGAAGACTCTGAATTTTGTCAGCGTCAGACAATTCATAAGTAGGTGAATTTCTAAAATCGACTCTAGATCTAATAGGGTATCCTGACTTATGAACTTTAGCAACACCATACATTCTACTGGGGTTATTAGTTTTTGGCATTAAATAAAACCATTTAGACTCACTTAGAAACGGCTTCATTCGGCGTATAAGGTTCGCTGTGGATTTCTTAACCTTATTCATAACAGTGTCTATTGATTTACTAATTTCTTCATATAGTCCGGTTTGTATGTGAGTATTCACCTTGTCCAAATCGTCTGATTTGTCTGATATTACTGTTGCATTTCCTTTGTCTGACTTTGTGATTACTATATCCTTGTTATTCTTAAGGTGTTTCAGGGCTTCTCTCTCTGATTTTGTCATAATAGGCTTTCCTTGTTTTTGTCGTTTTAATTTTAGTTCACTTCCTCAGCCAGGATTGGTGAAATGTTTAAGTAAAAGAGCACAAAAACTAAGTAGTACCAAGGGAAATCTAGGACAGAAAGTGAGGCATATGTGAGAAGCTTTGAAACTTAATAATTAGCCTGATACATTAGGCAGAAAGTATGTAGGGAAATTTAAAAATAAAATAGATAATAGTGGTAGTGATAGTGATAAAGATAATAATGATAATATTATTAATGACGACATGCATGTCAAACATACACAGGGTAATGACAACACCAACAATGAGGGATCTAAATCGTCAGTAGTACTTCCATACAAAGAAGGAACCTCGGAAACCTTACGCAGAATTCTTAACAAGACAGGAATAAAAGTGGCATTCAAACCCATAAACTCAATTAGAAACAAGCTTTGACGGTTAAAGGATCCTGTGGAACCTTTAAAACAAAACAATTTAGTTTATCTAATACCCTGCAATGATTATCAGGTCAGAAATATAGGTCAAAGTAGTAGAACAGGTGCAGTCAGACTAGCGGAGCATAAAAACCTAGCAAAATCTAGACTAGTTGACCCGAATAAGATAAGAAATCTAGAGAATAGTTCAGTTATAGCACTACATGCAATTGCACACAACCATACAATAGGATGGGATAAGATGACAGTTTTAAAATCTAATATAACGGGATGGAGGGAGAGATTGATAACGGAAGCTTTGTTTATCGAATCAACTGCAAACACGTGTAATAATAATAATTATTATTATTCACTTTAGGAATGATTCAACACTTGTTCCAGATATCTGGAAAATTCTAATACCCCTACGACAAATAGGAGAGAAAAAAATTAAAACCCAAGTTTCGAAGTCGTGATTATAATTGATATGATTATGAACAATAAATTTTCTTCGAAACGTCATCCATTAGATAATACCGTTTCACTGTGTGTCCGATATATCAATTAAGCAAACTGAGATAGAATTACTTACTGACGCAGTGACTATATTTTACACATATAAATACCAACTTTTATTTGAGTATATTCCAACGAGATGGAATTCACTGTTCATCTGATTTTAGCTCGTTGTTTGAATTTTACGGATAGTTTACTGATCATTGTTATTGGAAGGCGTTGGATGAAGATGCAACTACAAAAGTGATTGTTAGTAGTTTGTTATTCAACTTATGTGACCTCATTGTATCTTAAGGATTAAGCATTGAGTTGTTTCGAACTGGCTAAATTATCCTTTTTTTTTCTAATTTCAGGTCGGTTCGCCCGAATCATTGGCAAATCCCAGTGGAACTTCAGTGGTACTCAAACCAAACTTGAGAAATTTTTATAATCTGTATACATTGTCTTATGCTAAAGTTCCCTCCTCAGAAGCATCGACTCAAACAGACGAAGCGTATACATCGATGGCTGTATCACACCAATGTTCACATAGTGCACAACCTCATGAACTTATATCTGTCAATACATGCACTGACGAAGATGATATAAGTTCATTCATCGGTGGACTATTCTGTAATGCCTCAGTCGAAGCGAATTTTCCCCAACATCATGCAATAGAAGTTAAGTTTTCCATTCACCTTCGTCATATTCATTATTTATCAAGTGATCATTTTTAACGTTAGAAGTTGGTTATTGTTATACGCGTTCACAGTTTCTTGAAATGATTCTTAGAAATGTGTTGAAAACATTCTTGTTATGTTTTTGATATTCAACCACAGACCATGTACTCTTAAAGCAGCCAGTATTTCAGACCATGTGGTTGTGGAAAAAATACATGAAACCCAGATAGCTTTCGATAAGACTCATCCTTAGCTTCTGGTGAAATGCAGTCTGTTGGTCCGTAAGTGAAGATTATAACAGACATTGATGAGTATAACAGTCTTTCTTTCTTCTTACGGATACGTTCAGCTGGACAACGTGTATATAGCTGTCTACTGTAGTCCAATCAAGTAGCGATTTTCCTGCCTTAGCGGTCAATGTTATTCTTACACCAGCAAATTTACGCAAACTGACCACACAATCTCCTGACACCTGTAGGATGAATTTGTAGATCACGTGAGGTTAGGTAAATAAGCACAATTGAGTTTTGTACGATCACCTTCGAGACAAAGTGCATTTATAATCCGAGATGCTACACCCCTATTATAGTGTTGATAGGTTATAATATGATGCTCAGTCTAACCTCTGTCCAGGAGACTTTTTTGGTGTGGTGAGACTTTCATGAACATTTGTTCCAGCCAGTATATCTTGGGATCACTGCTGTTTACAAGCCCAACTACTTCTTCAGGGTTATTTTTGTAGTACTTCTTGTTAGTAAAAAAAGAAACAAACTGGAGCTTAATAAATATAATTGTTCATTTTGAGCTATCTCTGTCTGCAATGTCGGAAGGAAGAGTTTACGTCTCACAAACCTGGGGTGCGATTATGTGCATTCGAACTGGTCTGTGGTTCTCAACAACTTCACAGGAATTCCTAGATAATCAGTAACATCTTTATTGTATGGAAGTAATGAACTGAGATGTAATATTATCTGACTTATTTCAGTCATTTAATATTCTAGGCATCAAGACAGTATTTACTAGCATATGACCTGTCATTGTTGTGTGGTGCTCCAATTTGTTACACTAATCCGCCCATGAAGTGGGAGACAATAAAGCGGAAAACAAGGAATGGGAACAGTATCATTTATGTTTGTAGGGTACAGTAAGGCGGACGAAGAGGCGAAACAAGTAAAAAAATGCAATATTGCGGTAAAGATTGAAGCTATGTGTACATCTATGTCACTACGATTATTGATAACTGGAATTTAGGAACATCAAATTGAAAAATCGGCATACGATTTTAGCTGATGTAGTTTTAAGACTATCGCACTGTTTTGATACTCCGGTGTTTTATCTTCAGCTGTTGTATTCTCCTATTCTTATTTTTTTATTTGTCTCTCTCTTAGCGTGGTGTTTCACGATGTCTAATACCGTTCCAATTTTCGTCTTTCTTCGTGTTGCCTACCATTTTACTCTACCTATATAACTTGAGCTGGGTGCTGTACAATGCTTAATCATTCATTGTTTATTTTTCTGTGTATTCAAGCCATTAGACTTCATCATTTTCATAATGTTATGTGTGTCCTTTTACCATTGCATCTTTTTGTTTAGAATCGTACGAGGCTAAACCAGAGGATAATCTATCAGCCCCCGACAAACACCTTCATCATTTGGATTCACTCAATAAACATCAACCAAATATGTTGGAAAATTCAATCGAAAATTCGGTTCAGACAGTCAGTTACATTCCACTTGCCGGATGTTTGCGCAGTGGGGTAGATCAAGAAATTCAAGCAAAACTGGTACCGCCACATGAAAATGCATCTATACAAACTGATTTTGTAGAAAAGCTAAATGTTGAAGCAGCTACTGATGATCATCACGTCGACCGTAGTACTTACTTTACCCTCAACAGAATGCTTGAAACACCTCCACCACCTGTGTCTATGCCACAAAGTACTGTTTCTCTTGGTACTCATCTAAGCACTGCATGCCAGACTTTACATCATTTATTGGAAGAACCAGGAAATCTAGACAGGCAGCCATCAAGTGAGTTTCTATGACAAATTTTATAAAGCTCTATGTTTATCTAACGAGTCTAGACATCTTGCTTCATTGTGTCGATATTCCGTTTTATGATTATTCTTTCTGTTATTCCATTATCCCTCTTGAGATTCGCTTAATTGCTATTGGCTATTATTATTGGCAGAAGTTAAAATTTACGGGTCGCTTAATCTCAAGCCCAAATGGTTGAACGGCCAACGAGATTGACCTTTCACTCTGAAGGCCTCGGATTCGATCACTGGCGGGGTCGTGGGCGTGTGGTGCTGAATAGCCCCATGTTGGGATGAAACAGCTGCTCCATACTCCCTAATTTTTAATGGTTCCCTAACCGATATTAGTCCGTGATCAAACTTGAGACAAATCAGATCCCTAAAACCTAACTCTTGAAAACCAGTGTAGGCTATGCACAACTGCCGTCAACTCCTAGCTTAGTGATAGGGAGTGAAGTGATAGAACATGTTGACCACTTCACCTATTTGGGAAGTTGTATCAGCACCAAGGGACTGATTGACGACGAAATCTCAGCACGGATCCAAAAAGCTCGAGCTGCTTTCGCTAACTTACGCCATCTCTGGCGTAGGCGTGACATCCGGCTATCAACCAACGGACGTGTATACTGCTCAGCAGTTCGCTCCGCCCTCGTCTATGGCTCTGAAACATGGCCAATACGAGTTGAAGACATGAAAAGGTTGACTGTTTTTGATCATAGATGTCTACGATCTCTTTCTCACGTTAGGTGGTATAATAGGGTAAGTAATGTTGACGTTAGGCGTAGAGTGTTGGGCAAAGAGGGAAAATCACTCGAAGAGGCTATAAAGTTACATAGATTGAGATGGTTAGGCCACGTGCTGCGCATGCCTAACCATCGTCTCCCCCGACGGGCATTACTAGCTCATATATGTGCAGGTTGGAAAAGAGTAAGTGGTGGCCAAACAAAAACATGGCATAAATCCATGAAATCCTTGACAGTTAAACTGAGTCAGGTAGGGAGATGCAGACTTCCGGGTTGGGGCCCGCCCTCGGGACTCTGAGAATCAATGGCTGGAGACAATAGGTGACATGGCTCAAAATTGTTGTCAATGGCTCAGATGTATTCAGTCTCTGTAATCTTTCATATTCCTTTCTACCATTACTCATTCTGTTTCACTCTTATACCTGTCAAAACTCTATTGATTCTCTTCACTCATCTTCTTGTCTACCTTTGTGTGCTATTTGGAACGTGGCAACTCGAACTGCTGTACTTCGCTGCCAAGTTCTATGTTGAATCCAGCCAGCCACGCACAACTGCACTGCGTAGTGGTTTCTATATTTTAGGTAACATTATCTGATGGTGTTTTCTGAGTTAACATCTATTTTTACGTACACACGCTAATTTTGCACTCACGAAATATCATATTACTCATTTTTGTCCACTTTGATGTATAAACTGTATCGATTCTTTGTGTTAGATATAAAGTCCGCTCGCATTTTGATTAAACTGTAAGAAAAAGTTGGAAATACTGTGCACTTCTAATTTCCGTTGAACAAGGTAACGTGCGGTGACAGCTTTAAGTCATTTACTGCATATTTATGATGTTATCAGAGGACAATCACGATTTTCATAGTTTCATAAGTTAGATCGTGTCTCATAACTGATAATAAGAAGACATAGATAGTTTTCTTTTAAAGAATTACTTGTTTCCTATCTTCCTGATAAGTGTATTATGTTATACCTTTTAAAACTGCAGTTCCAAAATGTATTAAGTGATTGGTGTCAAGTTCTAGCTGGTATACAGGAGCTTGAAATAGAATGTTTTACGATTAATGTCGAATCTAACTACTTGTCTTATTGACACTTAGAGCCCCTTATACTGCCTTTCCACCACTTTTTATATGAATTCATATCTGAAATGTCGTTAGCTGTTGTATCACTTTACCGTCACAATGCATGTTATTATTATTTTTTTAAAGTTATAGAAGCATTAAATATGGAGACATCAGTTGCCTCCGATGCTTGTACTGGTGCCAGTTTGTTAAATTATGGATACAATTTGTCCAGTGCAACAGATCAAATGCTAAGATGTAAGTCGTCATCGTCTCCTTCAGATAAAATTTTTGCAACAACTAGTACTATGTCTGTTTTACCTAACAATCAGCAGTTTTGTTACCTGAATTCTATCGACACAACAACACAGCATGATTGGTCAGTCGGTGTGGACTTCACGCATAACCAAACACAGACAATCGATGAAGATATAGAATTATGGTTGAACAGTGTGGAAACACAAACTAATCTTGCGTCATTCGATCCAAGCTTTTTCTCAGATATATGTGTTGGTGTAGATGATGACTTTTTTCAATCGTAGCTCCTTTCCTATTACTGCACATGCATTGTCACCTTTACTTATAATTATGACTTATATTCTATATAATAACTGACTTGAATGTGATTTGAAAAACAACTTAGTGCCCTTTACCAATACATATCAGTGCACATTGAGATATATTTGTTCTCATTTTATTTATTTATCATTGTTGCTGCTCCTCATATTTCTCTATTTTGTATATTTTTAGAATCTTATTTATAATTCACTGTTTGGACTGTTTTTATATTCACTTATCTTGAGTTTTATTATTTTGCTGCTCATTCATTTCCATTCCATGTTACAAATTTTGTACATATAGGATAATTTAATAGGAACTACCGGTAGATCTACAGTTGATAATATGAGTTATTCAAATGATTTTGTTGCTTTTACTGACATTTAAAAAAACAATCTTTTTGCATACTTATTTGTTAACATTTCGCTGATTAGTCACTTGATAAAACGCTACTAGCATGTATTTCTGTAAAGAATTTTTCAGCGAAATTGAGTATCTTAGTGTTAATATTTTTTTACTGACTAGTGAATTAAAAGTTTGCGAAATGAGCATATTGAACTTGAATTATACCACACCAGTCCAGTGTTCTTAATCACATCACACGGGGATTTTTCATGCCTTGAAGAAATCCAACTGCCTACTGACAGTAGAGTAGCTCAGCGGTATTTTCTAGTCGTCTGTCAAGTTTTATGAAGCAAAGTCAAAAAGCTAGCTTCTATGTTCTCAACTACCCTGGTCATTTGAGCAACTTGTGGGTGAGTTTGTGACATAAGTGACTGGGAATTGGAAAATTGTTATCACATTCTTGTTTAGCTGTGTGACAGTACCTATTATTCAAATAACTCGATATGAGCTGTATGCTTTACTAATATTAATTAATGGGACTCTTTGGAGTGCTGTGAAGAATTCTCCTCACTTTTTTAACTGTTATAGATCGCCAAAGCACGTATTTTCCATATTTGTGTTAGCTCTTCTATTTATTTATACATATGTGAAGTTTCTCTTTATCGAAATCCACCCATGGATGTACTTATTTAGGCAGTATTTAGCTAATGCTGTTATTCCCACTTGACAGCTACTACTTTGACGCGATAATTAGGCTTGTAAGCAGCGATGATCTAAAGACATGATGACTGGAACAGATGTTCATGCAAGTCTTGCCATACCAGAAAAGTCTCCTGGACAGCAGTTAGACTAAAAGCACTTACCATCATATTGTAAGTCGTTCATAGTGGGCTACCAATGTATTTTATGTTTCAGTTGTGAGGCTCCATCGATTGGGTTGTCTGTAATATGCATTATGCATTCCAAGTCATCGCCTTCATCGAGCAGTATTAGGTGACGTAGGATTTGGTTGGAAAAGAATTCGAGGTGATCAAACCGAAACATGACATCAATTTATGAAACTTTTGACTGTTATTTTAAGCCATGTCTGACGGATTTCTTGAGACGTTAAAAGTTAGCGGTTCGTGACTGTCGGTGACATGTTTCGAAATTGTTCGCAATGGCGCAAATGTTTTCACTCTTTTTGACCTCACAGTTCCATTAAATCCTTATTATTCGTCATGTAATTATTATTTCTTCCGTAAATTCATTGTGTCGCAGTTCATTACATTTGTTTTCTCTTATTTCCTACCTTTATGTGTCCTTGCATGAAGTGTGAGAAGGTGAACTTTCGCTCAGTTCTAAGTTGGAAATTTTGTTCAGTTTTCAATACTGTAGTGATGCACTGGGTGAATAACACTGAAGAGAGTTCAGCAAGTAGTAGACGAGTCAACAGAAATTTATTCATTTGATAACTGAAATGTCATTACATGTATTTATAAAGTCAGGTTTGTTAGATTTTTAGTGCAACCTTGTAAGGACTTTATGTTGACGGAGTGGTTTTATTGATATCTAAAGATTATGGAAAAAGCCTGTCTGAGCCGTCGACTATTTTGAATTCCAAACAGTGTTCTGCGTAGACTGTTCAGTTGGAACTTGGGTTTGCTGTATCACAGTTAAGTGCTTGGAAGATAAAATAATCATTAATGTAAACGTTGTCTAACTTAAGTTGTGGCTGTCTAGTAATGATACAGCCGGTGACCGTTTTAAGTGTTGCATATTGTAGTCGTTTAAGGAGGGTTTTTCCGTAGAAGTACGACTTTCTGGTAGTTATTCTGAAACGCAGTCTGATATTGGAAAATATTTTCAGGTTTAACAAAATTATCACTAAATTTGGTTCAGTATACTCAGTACCAACCTGTATTATTATTATTTTTCTCTCGGGTTCCGAGTAGAACATAGGTCTTCAACAGCGGTCGTCTCTGGCTGTTCCCACGATTTTTTATAGTCCCTCATCTTCGTGAACGATCTCCATGTCACCCCAGGACACTTCACTTGCTGTCTCCTATTTGGGTTCTGCTCGAGAGCCTGATGTGATATGTCATCCGACTGTCTCCTCAGCGTATATCCAACCCAACTCCACTTTTTTCTACATATTTGTGGAGGAGTAGGTTCTTGGTTGGTTCGTTCCCGGCCATCTAATCTTCAATATAGAGCAGACAGCTATTGATAAAGGTCTGCAACCTGTTGGAAGTGGTTTTGGTGACGTTCAGTGCAGGTTTTTGGCCCATATAGAAGCACTGACTAACTTAACATTGGTGTTGAAAACCTGGACTCCGTTCTTTATGCTAATTGCTGATCTCCCAAGTGATTTCAGAGTGACGAAGGCCTATCTTGCCTTTTCCACTTTGGTGTTGACATCCTTATCTGTTCCGCCTGTAGTTGGAACAACGCTGCATAGAGATTAGTGAAGGAATTGACATCTTTCAAATCTATTCCGTTGATAGTGGCTGGTGCTTGTTGTTGTTGTTGATTGGTTATCTTCATCACCTCGGTCCTATCTGAGTTCACCTGAATTCCTGTCTTCGCTGCTTCTTCTGCCAACTTGTTGAATTTCGCCTGTAAGCCTTCGGATTTATTTGATATTGGATAAGAATATTCCGCTAAGTCCAGATCTCCCGGAGTCTTCTTATCGGTGCAATGCATTCCTGCTTTCTTGCTCTCCGTCTTTTGCTGCATGATCCAGTTCATCACATTTAGGAGTATCACTTTTGATGGTGGTCAGCCCTGTCTTCACTTCAAAGGTTTCACTGAGTTTTCCGCTGTATACCACCCGATACGTGGTGTTGTCATATAACTGTTGAATGAGGTTGATAAAGGTTTGGGGTACTGCATGGTGCAGAAGTAATTCACAAATTACTTCGCTGTCAACTCTGTCAAGTGCCTCATTACCAACTCGTAGCTCTTGGTTGAAACTGGTGGAGAAATCAGTGGTTTATTTTTCAGAAAGTGCAGGATTCATTACGTATCTAATCGTTGGTATTGAAACTAGTTGTTAAAAAAATTGTATCTAATGTCTAATCGACTAGCCAACCCCTTTCATTTTACGCCAGATTCACTAAGTAAATAATGTAAGCAAAATTTATTAAACTTTGAGACCTGAGGTAGAATAAAGGAGATCAATATTGATAATTGTATGTTCAAAACATCTCAGAAATTAAACACAAAGAACAGATTTGTCGTATACAGTTATACACAAATGAAATGCCTGTTATTTGACTTAAATCGATAGGCTCTTTCACTAAATTATTGATCTAACAGATGGTTTGTAATAATATATATATATATATATATATATATATATATATATATATATAACGTCTGTGCACAAAGTACTTTGTCATATGACTGTCTTTATCATAATCTTGTGTAGATTTCCATTTTTCTCTCCCCCTCACATATACACACACGTACTCCATTGCTTGATTTGAGTCCAGTATCTTTGTGTAAGCAGGTTATGCTAAGCAGAATTATTGACCAAGAGATTAGTAACAAAAAGGATGTTTGTGGTTATGTCAACAAATGTATGTGAAATATTTTTGTTTCGAAGTATTTGTCACTTTTTTACCACTTATTTGTTGAAAATAAGATTCTACACTTTGTTTCTTCTCAATGGATAACACAAAAGAGACACATAAGATGAAAACCAATATCAATCGTGCCAATTTTCTTTGTTAAAGCAGATTTAGCATTTAAGCGTTGATTTTACTACTGTCTATTTGTTCTTGACAGCTTACCAGGATGTTTTCATCCTCTCTTTCATCTGATTGCGTAACACCGAAAGATTTCATTCTGTATTATTATTATTGTTTCCTTTAATTTCTAGAGGAACATAGGGCTTCAGCCGTGCGTCTCCATTGCGTTCTGTTCTCTGCTAGAGTCTTCATCTGGTCCAAGTCTGCTCACACGTTTTCATCTCCTCTTCACATGACCTCCTCCAAGTCACCCTTGCACTGACGACCAACTCGCCGCTTCCCTTTCGGGTTCCACTCGAGCGATGGCTTGTCTAGTGATGTCACTTGATGGTTTCCTCAGAGTATGGCTAGCCAATCCATCTCCATTTCTTCCTGCCTATTTGTTTCACAATCGGTTCCTGCTGTGTTGGTTCGCTCCCAGAGATCCCTCTCTGTTGCTGATCTTTTCTGGCCGGCCATCTGATCTTGAGTATTGAGCGAAGGCAACTGTTAATGAAGGGTTGTAGTTTCTTTGAGATGCTCTTTACGACGCGCAGTGCAAGTCTCTGATCCGCACAGTGAGTAGTACTGACTTCACATTGGAGTTGAAAATCCGGATCTTATTTTTGATGCTGAGTGCTGTTGACCTCCACACATACTTGCTTTGGTATCCTCGTCAGTACCGCCTGTAGTTGAAACGATGCTTCCCAGGTAGGTGGTAAAGGAGGTTGTTTCTTTCAGGTTCCTTCCATTTATGCTGATCGTTGTCTGTTGTTGTTGTTGCTGTTGGTGATGTTGCCCAGGAATCTTCATCACTTCTGTTTTCTCTATGTTCACCTGACGGAAGTCCTATCTTTGATGCTTCTTCTGGCAACTTGTTGCTTTTCGCTCGCATATCTTCCAGTTTGTGGGAAATCAGACATATA